GAAGGCCTCATTTTGGCTCAGTACAGCAGAGGTAAATTTCATTGTCTCTCTCTATGGATTTTGTTTTAGATCTGTTAAGAGAGGAATATGGAAACTGATTGAATGGAAGCTGCTTGCTTACCTCTGCTGGACACTCATCTCAAGCCATATTTTCAAACATTAATATTATGTGATCATACAGCATAACAGTGCATACAGATTATAACAGCCTCAGTTTCCACAAAAAGGAGCAGCTGTTGCAGAGGGATATACCAGGTGACATGTCTCTCTCTCTGAGTAAATGTTTCTGCTTAGAGTCAGTTAGTGATCAGCTGCTCGCCCATTTTACTTTGCTCCAGCAATGTTAAAAATTTAATTTGGGTTTGAACAATTTTTTTCATTTTAAATTGCCAGGGAGATAAGATCAGATTGAGATTTTAAAGGAGAAGTTGGGAAAGGATGGTGCAGGGGAAACTTTCTCTATTGTATTTAGGGTCCTGCCAAATTCACGGCAATGAAAAATGCGTCACGGACCGTGAAATCTGGTCTCCCTCTGTGAAATCTGGTCTTTTGGGAGTTGGTCACAAGGTTATTTTAGGGGGGTTGCGATATTGCCACCCTTACTTCTGCACGGCCTTCAGAGCTGGGCAGCAGAAGAGCGGCAGCTGTTGGCTGGGCGCCCACCTCTCAAGGCAGCACCCTGCCAGCAGCAGTGTAGAAGTAGGGGAGACAATACCATACCATGCCACCCTTACTTTTGCACTGCTGCTGGCAGCAGCTCTGCCTTTAGAGCTGGGCTCCCAGCCAGCAACTGCTGTTCTCCAGCTGCCCAGCTCTGAAGGCAGCGCCGCTGCCGGCAGCAGCACAGAAATAAGGGTAGCAATATCGCTGCAATAACCTTGTGATCCCCCCAACTCCTTTTTGGACCCCTACAATTACAACACCCTGACATTTCAGATTTAAATAGCTGAAATCATGAAATTTATTATTTTTAAAACCCTATGACCATGACATTGACCAAAATGGACCGTGAATTTGGTAGGGCCCTAATTATGTCAGATGCCCATTTTAGGTGTGGTCGAGACAAGGAACACTAGTGGCTAGAGTATATGGATGTGGGAATATGTGACAGAAGAGAATATATTGAAAACATAATTGAAACGCAAGACTACTCAAAGCTTTCACCACAGAAGTTCCTCTTTTTACTTTAGACAGTTATTGTTGTGGTAGGGTATGTGAAAGTTAAGAGACAACTTTACATTGAATGAGGGAAACCTGGATTTTCTATGTCCTTGCTCAGTTAAGCATGACGTTGTGCATTTCGTCAGGCAAGGTTGGTAAAGCAGACAATCGTAAGTCAGTTGATCCAGGATCATTAATGTTATTGAGTGGTTTTGATTAATACCAAACTGTAGGTAACTAATTTTTTCTTGGTACTTGGTTCAAAGGTTTGTATGGCTCCTAATAATGGGAATTAGTGGCTTTTAGCACCTTTTGTAACTACTCTTCTTTCTTACATGGGGGGTTTTGTAGCTGTGGTTTGGCTTATGCCCCAGTAACGTGCAGTCTTGTCTTTATTTACACCCACTATACATATTTTATAAAAGCTGATTCTCATTCAATAATACACAGTCCCATGATGGGCTTCCCCTTCTGAGACCCTTTGCCAGTCCCCCAGGTGAACCCCTTTCAAGTAGCAAGCCCATGCCCCCACTTTTTTTTTGTCTGGGTCTCTGGATTGCATGTCCCTGATAGCCAGGAGGGTTTCCTCCTTCCCCCCAAACTCCCTATCTGACACAGGAGGTGTCTGTGAGACACACCAGAGGGGAAGGTCTAATTTGGAAAGGGATCTGGCCTGTCCCTGACTCACTAGGTGGGACAACAGAGACTGCGGAG